AATAAAATTATTTATATCGTTATATTTAGACATAAAAATGTCACATTTAGCAAAAACACTTACGTTTAAGGCTCACGATACTTTCGTCAGACACACAAATAAAAAATTAACAATATTGAAAGGTCAATAATTTGATATACTTATTTGAAAACAATGTTATCAATATGTAACAAATGTAAAATTTTAATATATGGTAATATTATTATTATTATTATTATTATTTATGGCAAATTCTATTAAATTTGTTTGTACAAGTAATTGTGTTTCACATTTACATTTTTTACCTTACTTACTTTCTCGAACTATATTTGAATTTCCCGCTTTTTGGCCCAAAGGCGGTGCCTATTTCTTATCTATGTTACCTACGCTGCTTATACATTGCTTAAATGGGAAAAGTGGAAGGAACTAGCAGTCCATACTTATATAGTCAAAGGCCCTGATCCCACCACAGACATTGATAGACAGAGAAAGAGTTACTATTCAAAGTATGTTGTCTCTCTCAACGTTGAAGACATCTTTTCAGCAAAACGCGCAGTCTATATATTATACGTCTATGATATAAACTAGGAATTTACAGAAACGCTAGCGCTACTTTACCTGATTTTAAGCTTGTTTCAGACTACAAGATACGAATTAATTCTTGCAATTTGTTGTCCAATCAGAAATCGTCCAATTGAAATATGCAAAACTATTGGCTGCGTAGTTCTGATTGGTTACATTCAAATGCATTCAAACTAGCTGTTTGATACAGGCTTTACATTCCTGAAACTGTCACTATTGTCACTCCAATTAGTCACTTATGTCGAGTGTTGCGGATTTTCGCAAATGTGTTTTTATGTAAAATAGAGCTTGTGTTTTTAAACAAATAAAAGCATATAATCTATAAAACAACTCAGTACTGCTATCTCGTTATAAGTTATCTCGCGAAAAATGTACAAGTCGAATTTGGAGCCAGACATACCTGCAGCATTGGGTTTATTGTCTCACTTAGATAATGAGGAGTTGAAAGAATTATTAAACAATGATGGAAAATTCGAAGATGTAGTGAAAGATATACAGCAGGTGATTCTAATACAGAGAAAACTTGATATTGGTTGTATTTAATTATGTGTCAAAGTTCAGAAATATGTATTTCTAACTTGTCACATTATATATTTGTGTGTATATGTTGAAACTCTATTATTCTCTTTGTTATCATACAACTTGATATTGTAATATTAGTGATATATATAATCATATCGTAATATATTACAATCAGTTTAAAGATCTGGAGACTGAGAAAGAAATGTTAATGGTGAGCAATAGATCTAGAGCTGAATTTAATCTGTCAAAGCAACCTGAATTGGAGGAAGGCAAACAGATTGTAAAAGACCTGAGTCAACAGGCTACTCAATTGTGTACCAGTGTTAAGGAGAAATTAGATGAATTACGTAAGTTATTAAACAAATTATATAAAAGCATTAAATATATTTTCAAGAGCTTTTGTATTTTTCATAATATTGCCAATAGGTAACAAATCTGATACAATGACGGTTGATACTGCACTGGATCTGCTACAAGCAGCTGCTGCTGAAATCGAAGAAGAATCAGAGGTACATAAACACTTTTTCATTAGTTTGTTGAATCAGATTTAAAAAACATCATTGTTGTTTATATAGGCAATAGCACAGAAATTCCTAGCTGGTGATATGGAAGTGGATGAATTTCTGGATCAGTTTCTGATACAAAGAAAATTAATGCACTTGCGTAAAGTGAAAGTAGACAAAATGAGAGAATTAACAAGAAAAGGATCTTTTTCGGGACCTGGCTATCCAACTGCTTCAAATTTCCCTGGAATAACACCTTCTATACCATATCCAACTGGACCTGTAGCTATGCCAATGCCATTACCATCAGGCATGCCAATAATGCCATTACCATCAGGCATGCCAATTTATAGGCCATACTAGTAATGTTATACAGTTTTCTTAAATTACACATTTGTTTAATTGTGGCACAAAATATTTTATATTGTTCTTTCATATAACTTTGTATGTGAATTACTATTATTTTTTTATATCAAATGATCGGTAATTGCATAATATAAAATATGTAATGTATAAATTGTATAACTGCTTTCCACATCATATTTATACCTTGATTCTCTCATTTTATGTATTATCACTGGATTTAACATGTCAAGTACTAATAGTCTTGAAATATTTTCTAGATTAATTGTATGTGAGATATCTGTGCTTAGATAAACTAAATTAATATATGTTAACAGTTGCAATCTCTGTTGTATAGAAAATATTTATAAGTTGTTCTTACTAAAATATATTCTCTTCTCATTTAGTATCACCAGTAAGATTCTTCCCAAAAGAATTGTTTTTCAATATCACTTTTACTACTGTAAGGAACTTTGCTAAACAATGAAGACAAAGTCATGTGAATATGTTGTAAAGCGATCGATAACAACTTTACTGATGTATTATGTAATATTGTAGATTTTCCTCATTTTTAACAAGAATGTAACACAAGTACAATATTTTTATTATGCTAGTTTCTTATTTTATACCGATAGAGATGTAGGATCGATATAGCCTAAAATAAATAAATCTGTATATACAGTACTAAGTATACATATATACATATGTACACAAAAATTATATTATTGTAAATAACTTCACACATTGATTAATGTTTATCATTTTCTCGACTTTGTTCTATATGTCTACTATTTTTAGATGGTTTATCAAATGTTTCTCTAAAATACATAGCAAGTACCATAAGACTTAAGATAACTGTAGCAATCAGTGTAGCATTTGGAAAATTACTTTCCTCCTTCTCCAATTTTTCCATTTTTTTTAAATTTTCATATGCAACCTTTCTCTTTTGTGATTTCTGAAATTCCATTCCATAGTGCGCCCTTGTCCATTCATCAAAATTATAGATTTTGGAACTTCCCGAGTAAACTTGCTCTTTGTAATTAACTGTGGATTCTCTAGTAGTCGATATTGGCTGTTGACGGATCATCATACCTCTGTCGTAATTCTTACGCAATTCGTGATTACCAAGAACTTCATAAGCTTCGGAGATGTCTTGAAACTTTTCTTTTGCAAAATCACTCTTATTTTTATCGGGATGATATTGAAGAGTTAATTTGTAATATGCTTTCTTTATTTCATTCTGAGTAGCGCGGGGCGTGATCTTTAATACGTCATAATGATTTCTTGATTTGGTAGTTTTCTTCGTTGAATATAATCTGGTTACGTTTCGCAACATCTTTGACAAGTTTGAACATGAACAAACTTTATCAACTTTGACTAAGAATTGCAGAAAGATATGTGTGTCAAAGACAAATATAACATATATTTGTATACATTTTGTTATGTCAACAATAATCTTTTTTTTTTTTATTCACTTATTTACTTATCTTGCTTGAACACTTTATAATTTTACTTTTTATGGTGCTCATATATAAATCATAAAATTGTCTGAAACATTGTACATATATTAAATAACAGGTTACACATTTGGAAAAAAAAAGAATAATCGTAAATCAAATTAGAATACATATCGCGGTATTAAAAAACTAAAACATTGTTTCAAATAGCATTTATATTTTTCTAATTGTATTACATTTACATCCAAATTATATTATATATTATTTATAATTCTTTATACATGTTTGACACATTTTGTCACTTCGGCAGTCATTATTTATCATTCTCAATTGTGTCAATACATTGATTTTCATTCTTATTGTTTAGAGAGTATAAAGATCCACACATTGACAGATGCAGAACATCAAATTGATATGAACGAATTGCTTCTTTTGGGAAATAATAATAAAAAAAAAAATGACATAAACTATATTATATTTATATAAAAGTATATTAAACTATGTATATAAGAAAATATCTATTTTTGAAAAAAATGTTTTAAAGTAGAACCTCAAAGTTGCGATACGTGAGAAACGTAAACGAACATTTTGAAAATAATAATTTTATACACGTACCAACAGCCACGTCAAATCAGCTCTGCCTCATTATAATTTATTAATTTCAGTTATTTATATTATTTTTTCATTTTTTTTCCTTTGTATATGCTCAACACAAAAAGGTTATGTAAAACATCAGTTTAGCTTAGAACCTGTTAGAAGTAGATATCAGTGTTTCCAGACTTACCGGATAAGTTCGTCTAGTGGCGCCCACGAACAAGCTTATACTCACGGAGGTAAGGGCCATTACACGTGAAAAAATTTTAGCCGTAACCGTAAGGTCGTAAGCAATTTAACCAATTACAGACCAGTATTATTTTACATTAGTTGGAATGCTGGCCAGCGATTGGTCGATTTGCTTACGACCTTGCGACTACGTCTAAATTTTTGCTACGTGCAATGGCCTT